AATCGGAGCATAAAATTCCCTCAGAAGACAAATGGAGAGCAAAAAGAATTGGGAGAAATGATAAAAGGCACCACATAGGCAAAGGGAAATTTCTGAGTATGTTCGTTTTGCCTGACCATGTGTTATAAATAGTATAACTTTTGTTGGGATCTGTGGCTCAAATCAGTGTGAATATAGGACCCCATCATGCTGGGTTCTCCTTGTCATCCCTGTGTAGGCAATATATATTCTGTAAAATTAACTTACTCATCCAATTTCTGGATGCTTTGGGTTTAAGAATAGCTGAGTTCATGGGAGAAATTTGAAGGCAGTTGGGTGTGGGAGACAAACGGAAGGATGTTTTCCAGGTTTGTGTCAGAGCACTAGTTCTCGTCACGTGTTTATAGATAAATTCTGAATTCTTCCCACTGCATATCAGACAAAATATCAACAGCAGAATGAAAGATGCTCAGTAAAAGTTGTCATCAAGCTGTTTATTCAAAATAATGCCTCGATTGTGGTGGAAATGAGTGTTTGGTACCTTGCAATACCATTACTGTGCTCACTTTAAACATGTATCATTACAGTTTTCATTTTCAAGAATTCATAAAACTTGTTTGAGGATTGGTGCCAACCTGTGTTCTGTTGGTTTTCTTGAAAGAAATTTTAGCTTGATTCAGGACAGTTGTAGAGTGACTTATTTTTGAGGTTGGCCAAAGTATGGGAGAGCTGATAGGTTTTGTAAAAGCTTAGTAGTGATTATTTAAAACATTTTGATCCCATTCTGACTTAACTGAAATAGGAGAGGTTACTCAGTAATGTTAATTCTGAATGAGAGCATGATCAGGTCTTACATTCTTAAGACTTACTTTTATTATGGCTGTGACTGTTTGATGATGAGTGAATATAGTGTATTATAGAACTCAACAAATCCTTACCATAAGTTTTTTAGGATCTCTGGAGCTTTGCAAAATATTTTCTAATGTAGAGGAAAGTTTTCTGTGAGGAAGTGGAAAATAATGTTTTTGTTTTTTTTTAAAGGAAAACAAAAAAAATTTATCTTTTTTTTTTTTACTGCCCTTTCTGCAGCTGTGTTTTGTTTTCTTCTACTCAGAAATGTGTATGTTTCTTTGCAGAGGTGTGAATGCTGAAGACAGCAACTTAAACAAATGGGGTGTGTGTTTAGCAGCTACCACTTGGTATCTCTGGAAACCAGTCTAGTGGTATAGAAGGCTAAATGTAGGCATCTAACTTTGCAAATGCTTGGGAGACATGGTGTTTATACACAACTTTCCTGTTCCTCTATAACTTAATATACCTGGCTAATAAAACCTAAACTGAGATTGTGCTGTAGCCTTCATCAGGGATTACGATGAATTTAATCCCAGTACAAACTTAATTTTCAAGTTCTCACAAAGTCTTAAGTTCCAATGTTCAGATATTTTGGCATTAGCCTAAATATACTTGGCAATGTTGTGTTTATATCTCTGTTTTAATGTTTATGGGTATGAATAATTTCACTTTTAGTTCACTTACACTCTTTGCATGTCCAAACACTGCACAAGGAGGGAGTTTACTTGTGATTTTAAATATTATTAAGTTCCCTCTTCAAAATAAAATTAATATCGAAATAAGAATCTGGGCCTCTAAAACCTTGACAGAAGAGAGACTCTATTTTGGATTGGTAAATCCGCTCCATTTTTATATTCTTCTGTACCTATTGAGAGAATACATACTCAAAATCCATACAGACAATATTTGAAGTTACAGTTACTCAATGATACTCAAAGAAACAAAATTATTTATTTTGCTGTTCAGTTTTCCTTAGTAAATTTATGTTCTATTTCTCACTTAAACTATTTGTCCTCAACTCTAGAGCTATAATAACTTCTCAATAAATGTGAACTAATGGTAAGCTGCAGAGCTTTTTAAAATGCTTTTAAGATATTTTTTACCTAGTGCAATGCTTTTATATTGGAAATCAAAATCTTAGCTAACTCTTCCAGAGACTCTTCTGAAAGGAGTCTGACAATTTCTCAGACAGGTGAATGGCCACTTCCCGCCACCAGGTTAGCAGACATAGGGTCAGATTGGGTAAGAGTTTGAAAGGGTTTGTTCTTAGTTTAGGTGGGGGCTGAGGCAGAATGGAGTTTAAGCACAGTCTGAGCATCTGCTTTGTCCTAAGGTGAAGAACGGAAAAGCTGACGGTCACATTCATATTGTCACTGCTTGATTTTTGCGAGAATTCTTTAACCAACAAAAAAATTAGGGGGAAAGGACAGAAGCATTAGAAAGAAAGGTGAGTATTTGTGTTGTCTGTTAGTTTTAAGAAAGAAGAAAAACTGCCTTTTCAGAAAATTGAAAGTGACAGGCTCTGAATTTATCCTTGGTATATCAGAAAGAGCAGTGAAGGATCACAGTTTTTCCATAGTGATTCTTCGTTAGTTTTTGCATTCACTTTTTTTGCTACTAAATTTAAGACTGATGAATGGCTAGACCTACCAAGTCCTTGTCACATTTCTAGGCTTCTCGTTTTGGTATTTCTTCCAGCATTCAAGCAGTCTTGATTTTTAGCTGGTATACGTTCATTCTCTTTCCATAGTACCCTGTGGTTCAGAAAGCATTCCATGTTGTATACTTTCTTTTCTCCACGTTTTGCTTCTCCTAGTCCTGTTCCTTAACAATGTATTGAGAGGGTCTGGAGAAGAAGTCTTATGAGAAGCGGCTGAGGGAACTGGGGTTGTTTAGCCTGGAGAAAAGGAGGCTGAGGGGAGACCTCATCGCTCTCTACAACTACCTGAAAGGAGGTTGTAGCGAGGTGGGTGTCGGTCTCTTCTCCCAAGTAACTGGCGAAAGGACGAGAGGAAATGGCCTCAAGTTGCGCCAGGGGAGGTTTAGATTGGATGTAAGGAAAAATTTCTTTACTGAAAGAGTAGTTAAACATTGGAACAGGCTGCCCAGGGAAGTGGTTGAGTCACCATCCCTGGAAGTATTTAAAAGACGGGTAGATGAGGCGCTTAGGGACATGGTTTAGTGGGCATGGTGTTGTTGGGTTGATGGTTGGACTCGATGATCTTAGAGGTCTCTTCCAACCTTAATGATTCTATGATTCTATGATCTGTTGGCAAATCGCAGTGCTGCAGCCGGAAGGTGTACAAAACCATGCCGTGTGTTACCACCACCAAGAAAATTAGAAAAAAAATCATAGGGAGTCCTCAAAAACAAGCAAGCATATAAAAGAGCAATTGGCACAAAATCTAAATTTGGTTTTCTCTTTATTTGCTCACATCTGCTAACTGAACACATTGCAATTTGATTACATAGCCAAATTACCATTTCCTCACACAGCCACTGTTGAGAGATTAGTTTCTTCCAAGTGTGAGATTTTGTGCATCTCTGCAGATACGCTAAGATAGAATGAATGGACATAAGCAGTGCCTGCTGCCCTGATGGTTTCCCTTTGTAAGACAACATTATGAGAATATAGCAAGATTGTTTTATGTCCGTTTATAATAAATGTATTTAATGACATTTTTATTAAAATTGCCCACATTATATGTGTAAACTGTAGGATATTTTTCTTGGATTCTTTTTAAATGCAATAGGAAAATCTGGGTATGCAATAACTAAAACAACAGAATGCTATCTTATTTTGTGGCATCTACCCTACAAAAATATTTTTATGTACACTGAATCTACAGTCAAAATATACCAAAATTAAGTATTCATGCTAAAAGGTGCTATAGATTGAAACAAACAGATTCTTTTGCTTGGTCTATAAAAAAATCTACTCTTTTTTCAAATACATCATCTGTGGAAGAAATAATGTTACTAGCATAATTTTTATCATATATTTTCATGTAACTTTTTATGATCTTACATAAAACACATTTCTAAAACTTTGTATACATTACTATTTATATATTTAGACATTAAAGATAACTTACTTGAAAAGAAATGAATTTAACAATCCCTGTCATTATATCTGGGGAAAATACTAATAGGGAATAATCTAATAAACAAAACCTTTTTCTGAGGATGCTATAAGAAATTGTGCAAATAGACTTCTTATGTATCTTTTCAGGAGCTGAAGACATGCGTAGACAAATGCTGCAGATAATTCATTTCATTTAATGTTTGTTTATTCATTTTGTGGGACTGGCCACTCAAGTCACGCCTTCTAGTTTCCAGATACCTGAAACTTTTACTCATAACAAAGCAGTGTATCAGTTTCTAGATGGCCACTTGTACTTTTCATATTTTCCCAGGCGTTGTGACTCCCCATAGGCCTGCAGTCTGGAATTAGCTAGACAGCTCAGTCTAATGTCTGTGAGGATTTAAAAAGTAAATTTTCCTCTAAGTTCACAAAGCAGCTCAGTCTGATGTGTGGTCCCGGAGAATGTCACAAAAAGTAGTTGACGCAGGTATTTAAAAGACGGGTAGATGAGGCGCTTAGGGACATGGTTTAGTGGGCATGGTGGTGTTGGGTTGACGGTTGGACTCGATGATCTTGGAGGTCTCTTCCAACCTTAATGATTCTATGATTCTATGAGAGCTTGGGTAAAAATTTAAATTTCAATTCTATATATTAATGAACATTAGTACAGTAATTTTCTTCAGTTTTAAAGTATAGGCCTACTTTAGTAGGGTATAACATCTTCACAAAAGTATGCTTATTTCTGTCACTGCAAGTGTTGACTTGCAGTGGCATTTGTAAATAATAATTCCATTGTCTAGTAGAAAGCAAATGATAGAAGTTGTTTATAGCAACATCTACTTTTTGCTTATAGTTTAAGTTGGCTTTTTCAGTAAAAGGTAGTGTATGTATCATTTGTCACACAAACCCATATTTAGGAAGAGCAGATAAAGGAGGAAAATAGTGTTGCGTGCAATCTACAGTTTGTGCTAACCTGTGGAGGAAAACAGTATTGTACATCACCTACAGTTTGTGTTAACCTTTATTATCACACTAGCTATTTAGATAGTCTTTTTTGTGCTGATAATGATGATCCTTGTTACAGGCGGATGCAACGGAAGCCAGAAGCGCCCGCAGTCACTTATGCAACATATCGAGGTTCTGCAAGGATTAGGCAGCTACTGAAGAATCAATCAGAAATGGCTGGAAAAGGAGAAGAAAGTACTGAGAACAGAAATGGTTCAATGGTCAAAGAAAATGGAGAAATCCAAACAACTGTCTCTCTGAAATCAGGACACTTAATAAAAGAAAATGGAGAAGATGAGGGTAAAGATCACAAAGATGATGTCATAGTAAATTCTTCTGCAGTTAAAATCGGAATGAAAAAGTCTGGTAAAGCTCAGCATTGCTTGGGTAGCAGTAAACATGAAACAACCGCAAAGACCACAACTTCATCTATTGAATCATCTCTTGAGATAGACTTAAAACATACACCTGCTTTAGCTGCAACAAAAGTTAAAAGAACATATTCACTAGATTCATTACTGTCATCTAGTAGTAGAAATAATGAGATCCTAACCAATTCCACTTCCCAGATTTCCAATTCCCTTAACATGAGTTCTGCAGGCGATTTGGTTGGAAAAGAAGTTGGACTGCTGGGAGAAGCAGAAGCTCAGTTTCAGGCAGACAAAAATGCCACTTCTAACTTTGATAAAGAAAATCATTGTAGTAAAGCAGCTAAGGATTCCACAAAAGAAATGCAGGATGATTGTTTACATTCACCCAAATCAAAAAATAAGACAGTTAATGAAGAACTACAGGTGAGTAAGGGAGAATATTGCTGTAATCAGCAAATGGATAGTCACTCGGAGCTAACATCGGATGTCCAGATGCTTCATTCCAGTACCACTACATTTCAGCAGCAAGCAGATCAGCATACAGGTAGTGCAAATAAAGATAGTGATCCAAGAAAAAGCGATGCACAGAAAATTGTGGCAGCTGTAGAAAGAGAGCAAAATCCACAAAACTTTCTTTCTGCTGCTCTTTTACCTTTTAATGAACAAATACCCACTTTGCTTAGCGTGGAGTCCAGAGGAGAATGCATAGCTGCAGGTAATCTAACTGCTTCAGTGTCATCTATTAAAAATGGTGAAGATATAGTCACGGGCAGGGGGACTTGTAAGGAAGAACTGAGTGAGTTAGGGAAACCAATGCACATAAAAAATGATCACCAGTTAATCCTTGTGGAGAATTCTAAGGATACTGTCACACTGCAGAGTGGTTTACCTTGTCTAGAAACAGAGGGTGTGGAAACAATGAAGGTTTTATCTGAGATTGCAGTGGAAAACCTTGCCAATGTGTCGTCTTGCATACATAAGTGTGAGGGTGTGAAATCTAACTTCGATGAGCTGACAGCACCTCTCCCTGTTACTTACGAGTCTTCTGTTGAAACTGGAGGCTGTTGCTCAGCTTCTCCTCATCCTAGTTGCAAGACCAAAAATAAAACTATAGGGAAAAGAGAAGTCAGTTTAAAAGATGTGAGAGAGGCTGTTTCTTGTCCTGATCGTGAGTGTGAGAAGAGCAAATCCTTTGAGCCTGTAGAGATGAGCCTCTCGGAAAGCTCAGTTCCTGTCCACAACTGTGGTGCTGTTTCCCTTGAAACTGTTCAAGACATTCCTGCCAAGGCATTAGTTACACTCACAGAAGATAACACAGCAAAGCCTGCACCTTGCCCTTTAATCAGCATTGATAGGACAGACGATTGTACTCCTGCTGCTTCTAAAATCTATAAGATTGATATGACTGAAGTTGCTCTTGTTCCTTCTGAGAGTAAGGATTCCACCTCTGAACTTTCCTCTTGTATTTCTAAGTCACAAGAAAACATTCTGGAGGTTTCTCATTCTGCCTTGAGATATGGAGAAGGACCTTTGACCAACCATTCTGCTTTCATCTGTGAAAAAGGCGTTGATGTAGACATCATTTCTGAATCTCCATCTGTTTCTGAAGATAGGCATATTAATTTTTCTTCCAAGAAGGAAAACAGTAATAAGCCTAGGATATCACCCACAGCACTTGATTGTTCATCTGACAACCAAGGAAAAATGCCTTCCTCTGCCACTAACTCTGAAAATGACCAGATTGCTAGATGGTCTGCTGCTTCTGAACAGGACAGCTTCATTTTTCCAGCTGCTGAGTTTAGGAGCATAATCCTTGAGGACAGAATGACTGAGGTGCCACTTTGCTCAGGAGACCTGAGAGCTTCATGCCCGGCTGGTTCTCTGGAACCTGAGCTTACTCCAGCTATGCTTGATCGCTCTGCTGCTGGAGTAGAGGTGGGGTGTGTTTGCATCCCCAGGTCCTCTTCACCTACTCTGGGATCCAGAGAAGTCTCCAACCTTTCTGTTTCTGCCTTGGAAACATCGGGTGTTGGTCAGGGGAACAGTTACTCCTCCAGTCACAGAGCTGGTGATGGGGCAGAGGTGGCCTCTTCCGCACAACAGGCTGGCGGCAGTTTCTTGGCAGAGGCAATGCCATCACCCATCTGTCCTTTGAAATCTTTGGAAATGGCGTCTGAGTCAGCCTGTACTGAGAGCGTGTGCAGAAATGCTGTGGGACAGGTGAATCTTGGTAACTGTGCTTCTGCTATCTCAGAAGCCCCTTCTGTGACGGATGATCAAACAGCTGCTGCACCCGCGGAGTCAAACAAGCTCTGTTCTGAGGAAGTACTGGAAGATACCGATGTGAAGGGACAAGAATGTGCTAAATTCCAAGATGCTGCTGCTTTGTTTAAAAAAGCTGAGGAAATAGTGGACTCAGTTTTACACTTGGCTATAGAAGAAATAATAGCAAAACAAGCCATTGGTGTCTGTCAGCTTTGTGGGAGCAAGGGTGGTTTAATAAATACAGATATTCTAAATTATCAGAGAGCTGGAACTGTACAGCTGGAAGCAGAAGAAATCCAGTCAACTGTGCAGTCATTAAAACATTTTAACGAGAGCAGTGGAGGAGGCTCATCTTCATTTACAGAAAATGAAACAGTGGATGCAAATAATCAAGATGAAAAGATACTACCTTACATCCCTGATAAAATGGACCTACATAGTGCGCTAGCACTAAAAGCAAAAGAAATAATTGATGAAGTCATTAATTCAGCCAAACAAAAACTGACATCCAATCAGTGGCAAGGCAGTGAGAGTAAAAGGCTTTCTGAAAAGGTTGAGCCTAAACCTACGGCTGAAACCCCAAAGATTTTAAACCTGGATATGAAGTTACCTGCCAAAACACAGGAACCAACAGAGGAGGCAGAAACTCAGAGTGTAGCTGTAAACCGTGAAAACGTAGATTGCTCAGGTCCTCCTTTACTTCCAAATAGTATGGAAAATGGCATAGATTGGCCCCAAAGAGGTGAAAAGATACCAAATAATGCATTTATATGTCAAACAACTGGATTTCTACCCACAGGTAGTTCAGCAAGGCCAGAATCAGATCTTATGACACCAGCCAAAGAGAGGCACGATAGAAAGGTGTGTGAACATCTGGCTGCAGCAGAGTCGTGTGGCAAAGGTGGAGTATCAGCAACTAGTAGAAAATCTGATGGATCTTTACATTTAATACCTAGAGATGCTACTGTGACTGAAGAGATGCTTCTGTCATTGCAGTCAAGAGAGTCATGCAATAATACAAATATGCCAGAGTGCACATTGCTGCCCACTGTAAATGTTAATTTGTCATCTTTTATGCCTGATGAAGAATGTATCAGCATGCAGTGTGAATCCAAAGACAAAAGCAGTCCTCAGGGTTCTCTGGAAAGCAGTACAGAGGACAGTCCGTATGAACACTGTGGAAGAGAGGCTGCAGAAGAAGTACTTGCACAAGTAAAAGCAACCTTAGAAGATTCAAAGGCAGTGGAGAGTGAAGAGGAACTAGCAGAATGGGCAAGTGAGATAGCAGAGGTTAATACTGGATTAAATACACAGTTCGCTGTACCTGAATTGTCTGTTATCGGAGAGGACAGTGAAGGGAAAAACTGCTTTAACGCAATTTTTGCCCAAAATAATGAGAATCCAAAGCAGGTACAAATGAAGGATCAAGACATGAAGAGGAATGATCAGCTTGAAGAAAATAGTCTGGACTGTAGTGATGACATGAAGGAATCAACGGATCTTTTGGCCTTTTCTCCACTAATTGAACAGTGGGAAAACAGTTCTTTTACTATCATTTATGAAGGTGCCCTTCAAACTGAGAACAAATCTGTCTCAACTGATGATATGCAAACTGGTTCGCTTTCTTCTTCTGTTCTGCCTTCGGATAATATAGATCATCTAATGTGTGAAAGAGCAAAGACTAAATATGAGCCAGCCTGTCTTTATGGGAAGGATAACAAGTTGAATGAAGCAACAGATAGCCGTAGCTCAGAGTCATTTCTGAGCGTGGAGGCCAAGCGCTATAGAGTATATCCTTTCTCTTTGTCTCCAATATACGAAGACGACAGCTCCCAAGAAGACTTACTTTCCACAGATGTGTCACCAGAAGGCCATCCTAGTGGACTATCTAAAGATAACATTGACCACACTTCTGTACTATCCCTTCTCCAGTCGGTTTCCGAGCGCTTACAGTTTACTACTCAGTTCAGTAAAGAGGATGAGGAGGAGGGAGTGGAGGACGAGGAGGAGGAGGAGGAGGAGGAAGAATCATCATACGAAGAAAATATGCTTGATGTTGAGAGAGAAGAATGTCTTTCCAGTCAGTGGAGAGGCAATTTAAAAACAGCCCTTCCATCAAACGACCAAACTAGATCTTTGTTTCCTGAACAATCACCTCTTCCTTCAAAAGAAAAACTTGACTCTAAGGAGCAACCAGAACTGTTTCCAGATGCGGCTTCTCCTGGTCAAACACCTTGTAAGCCAGTTTCACAGAAAGCTGATGCTGCTCTAAAGCATCCTCCTCCAAGTGTGTACTACCAGTATTTGAAATCTGCCAGCAATTGCTCCTCTGAGAAGGGGACCAGGTTTGGAAGCATTCTCCAGGATATGTTGCAGCCAAAGATTCATTGGTCTCAAGACAACACCATGCCAAAACTGGGAGAATTGTCAGCGGTAAGATGTCGTGTCATATAATATTAATAATCAAAGTGATTAGCCCAGATTCAAAATTGCTGTCTCCCTATTCTCCTTCCTCCCTTTTTTTTTTAAGGTTAATTCTTTTATCGTAAACAAAATCAATTAGGCTGTTTGAGATCATAGTTTAAAAAAAAATTCTGCTAAAATAATTTTAAAAGCAGTATTCTGGGTTCAGCACACAGATGAAAGTGACTTAATTGTAAAACAGAAGATGTGAACAGAAAATACAGTAGGAAAATATACATAATAGTAAGTCTGTATAATAGCAAAACACAGACTTGTCCATGTTAAGGACATTTCAACCTGAAGATGATGGAATTGCCTTTTAAATGAAAATTGTTCTTTCATTTCTTCCACTTCTGAGATTAGTAGAGCCGTATTGTCCAAAAAATACAAATATCTGCTTACGGGACTATTTGATTGTTTCATCACAGAGTCTTCTACAAATTGTAGCTTAGTTAGCAAGTAAGTAATATAGCTGCTTCCATAGATTAGCATTTCTTTTTTAGTTTATTTAAAGCAATGGCAGATGAGGGTATGGAAACAGTTCTTCCCATATTCAGAAATTGAAAAGGCCACATAGACCAAATGTGTAACTGAAGAATAAAGTCTTTCTGTGATGTTGGGAATATTTCGGTCTGTGTTAGAGGTCTGTTTTGGTTTTGCCACTGTTAAGACATGCAGTTTATTGTTTGCTGGGAAAGGGTAGTACATTTTCAGAAGTTACAACTTCCATAATAGTTCTTCCTTTCTAGAATTTGCTGCTTTCTGCTGATTGTTTGATTCTGTTAAACTATTTACACCAACTCTGAATGACAGTGAAACAAATCTTGGTTGTTTCTGCTAGTGACAGTTGTATACATTTATAGGAATAATGGACCCAGAATAATCTGTCTATGCTTTGTGCTGCTGTTGTAGATGTCAATAGTTGCTTTCCATGTCCTTTTAATTTCAGAACCTCATTGACAGAGCAAGTCTCAAATACAATCCAAGACCGGGAAAGGTAAGCAGAATTTGTGTCACATAGATCAATATGATACATGGAATAATTTGTTGTACCAAAATTTTAGAATTGCCAGCATCTGAAGTTGTTAGTCTAGTTTTCTGTATTTTAATGGTGCATATGCTTGCACATGCTAACAATGAGTTTATATTATTAAAAATCCTGCCACTAGTAGTTTTACTGTATTTCTGTCAGCAGCTGCTGTTTTAGTTCAGTAGAGTGTTTCATAAAAGAAGAAAATGTGTAACACGTCAGTTGAGTGGGCACAAAGTGAAGTAAGTTTTATTCCAAGCAAAAAATAACTGTCTACACTGTATGTTGAAATGGGCCCTCATTCATATGCATTGTATGTTGTTTCAGATTATTATTTATGATATTTCTGGTGACAAAAGTAAACAAGAAGTTCATTCTGATGTGCTAGATACCACGTCCTGGATCTTTCCCGTTGGGGCATTACTGAGGATAATTAGAGGATGGTAAGAAATCCAGGTCATATTTAAATAGAGTCTTTCCAAAAGACTGTCTATGTGTTTCTCTTGTGTTTTCATTTCTTTTATTTATGACACAGGTTTGATCTGCAAGAGTGTCTTTTTCTTTCTTTATAATTAGACTGATACAATGAAAAAAGCATGAAACAAGGCTTCAAATGCTGCAGTACAAAAAAAAAAAAACATTGTTTCTCCTGGGAACTAGCTTCAAACAAAGTTTCTAATAGAACCATAAGTAAGTTTAGACTTCTTGCCTGAAGTGCTGAGACAGTACAGCCATAATCATCACTAGAAGCATGTATGCCAAACAAAATAGTTTTTTTTACAGTTCAGTTTCATTATACAGTAACTGTTGCAAAAGGACCATAAAATGAACAATCTCAGCTGCTGTTTGTAATGTAGCATTTAGAGGAATGTGGATGCAGAAGGATATACAAGTACCTTTAAGGTAGATTTTGCAAGTGTTTCTCGGTTTGCTTTGGGAAGCTGGGGCTGGGACCATGTCAGTTATTGTATTGGAATGTAATTGGTGGCACTTACAGTGAATGTTTCTGACTGTCAATCATGGTAACAATACATGTCACATTTATGCAGTTTTGAGGCAGCCTTGTTTGGTTTTGCATACATTTCTTTCGTGTCCTAAGAAATATGGAATGCCATTATTAGTGTGTATGTGTTTTACGCCTTGCATAGTATCTGCCTGAACAGGACGTGTTTTGATGTGTCAATTAATATATTTGTTCTGGTAAAATAAGGCTTTTTATTTACATTGTGTTTTAGCTGTATTTTTATACAGTTACTATTTTAAGTTACGTTAGGCTACGTCCTGGAGGAGAACCCTGTAGTTTACTTTTAAAGCACAGAAGTACAAGCCCCGTATTTATCTAAAGTGAATGTGACTACTGAGGGACAGCATAAGAAAGGTCTGATAGTTGGCTTGATAAAAAGAGCTCATTGCTGAGCTTTCCAACAAATGTGCTGTATAAGGACAGTCTTACCTAACAGCAACAACTCGGTTCATTATATCATTATTACAGTTGGATTTTTTATGAGAAACCAAAGTTCCAGGGTCGGAAATACGTACTAGAAGAAGGAGAGACTGTGCTGGATCACCTTTGGGATATTCCGGGCGTGAAACATCGTCGAAGAAACCTCACAGTTGGTTCAATCAAACATGTAACAAAGGTATAGACTTTATTAATAATATACTCACATACATAATTAATTTCTGTTGGCAATAGTGGTGTGTTACTAGCAATGGACAATGTGTCTATGCTGTGTTTCTGATTTTATTCAAATTTGCCATGAATCACATTTTTCACCTTCAAGATAAATTCCAGGGCTTCTGCTGCGCTAAATTTTCCTTTCAGCATAGCCTCCAAAAATTACTATTGCTCCCTCTACAGCTTTGTGCCATCTGTAGGGGTTCCATGTGGACAAGTGGTACACCTACAGCATCTGGCTCTACGTACAGTCAGAAGTTTAAAAGGCATTTTGTTGAAAAGATAGGAATCAAATGCCTAAATCTAAATATAATGCATCCATTGTTATTCAGTGAATGAGGAATATATTTACCAGATCTTGTGATTTAAGAAGACTTAGTGCTCTTGTTTAGCATAACATTCCAGTTATTCACAGGGCAGTGGCCCTTTACTGTGAGTGAATTGTCATTTGTTTTGCAATGTGAAAGTTTTTCAGAAAAAGTGGTGTTTCTCTGTTCTCTGCTGGTATAGAGGTAATTTTAAAATTGATAACCTTTTTGTCATCAGTACAGGGGCATAATGTCATAACAATTAGAAATACTTTTTCATTCTCTTAAAGACTTAACAATAAATAAATAAATTCAAAAGAGGCTGGCTGAGGGCATGAATAATGAAGTTAACATTTATTTGAGCTACACAAGTTAAAAGCATTTGACCAATATGGAATATGAATATCGATCAATAATGTGGAAGGCAGCTAAGTAATTAAAGAAATACCACAAGAACATGTGGAACTATGGTCTAAAGCTGAGGGAAGCTGGGTGTGTCTTGGGTATCAAAGAAAAGAAAGCCTTGGATTGGAAACACACTGTGGTTAGCTTCATCATGCTTGATAAAAATCTTCGTAATACAGCTAAGTAGGTTTGAGCATTGTTCTTCTTCCAGTATGTGGTTCATTTGTATGGAACAGATGGAAAGCTTTGCTGCAGTACACTAGTTCAGTAATCAACACTGTTTCTCATGTAACTTAAACCTCTAGCAGATATGGTTGGTTGGGAGGACTTTTGCTGTTAGTCCATAGGGCTGTATGGAGCTAGTGTGGGTGTGAACTCACTAAGCTGGGTTTTGTCTTCTAAACCTTGATTCGTGAAAGCATCCATCTTTTTTAGGTTGTACTTCAGCTGCTGTGGAACTACTTTTAGAAGGTAGTTTGCCAAAGTGCTACTTTTTTTTTTTTTTTTTTTTTTTTTTTTAAATATAGGCATTATTTTTAATTGACAAATAGCTGTTTCTTTTCCAGGCAGCTCATGTGTATGTGATCTGCAGGATCACATGTTTTACTGTCATTCTCTTTTTCATAGGCTGGGTAGCTCAGTGGCTTTTTTCCTGCCTAGTTTGGTCATACTGGCTGTGTGTCCAGGCTGTCTGGCTTGTCTTCTGATTTTTCAAGTGGCTTTTTATGGTGCTTGTTTAACAACTGCTCAGATGCCTTGAATTAGCAGATTTGAAAATTGGCTAAATATTTGAGAAGAACATGGCTTGCCAAGAAGAGAAAAACAGATGTTTACTAAAGAAACTGTAGGAGGTACATTTAATATTATTTTTAATTTTTGCTGGCAGATGTTAGGTTGCTGAGAAACAGTCTGCCAGTAGCTTCATGCTCTGATTTGGCTTCAAGCATCTACAAAAAGCAAAGGTTCTGTTAGCTTTGTGGTTAGCTTGTGGCTTGACTTACTGTGGACACACAGTATATGTATCCATGTGTGTTTAATTTAAAGGAACTTTGCAGGGGAGGGAAAAAGATCCCAAAGGAACAGATCATGCAACTAGTAAAATGACGACCTATTTGAAGTAATGAGGCGTCTGAATTCCACTAAGGCAAGTCAACATGAGCCTAAACTAGCAAAATCTCCCTGCACTCGGGTTCAATGCAGCTTCTGCAGCACAATCTGTTTAGCCCAGTCAGTTCTCTGGTCTACTGCAAATGAATATATTGATCTTATGGAATTGGAGAGCTTTTTCTATCTGTTTCTGGAAGCCCGAAGAGGGTGCTAAATGTTACTTTCCTAAAAACAAGAGCTGAGAAGAGTTGCTGATGTTTCCATTCTGGTGTAATCTTGTAAACCACTATTTTGCAAGGTGACAAGAGATCTGAAACAGCAGTTTGTAATCTCTGTCTGCAAGATGGTTAGGCAGGGAATAACTGGATTCCTTGTGGACTGTTCTTAAGCAAAGCTCTTTGTAATGGGAATGTTCACAGTATTACAGGAAGGGTGTGTTTCTTTTGTTTGTGTGGTTTGCTAGGTGAAAAGGAAGTTATTAATTCAAACAGGGACTACTTTGTCAGATGCCATAGGAAGACACCCAGGAGCTTCAGATTGTCTCATTTGCTAGTTGGTATTTAGAGGATAGTAATCATTCATTTCTTTACTATTATTTTATTCTACTACCAGCCCTGTTGAGTTCTGTAGTTTGGTTTGGTGGTGAAGGGTGGTAGCAAGAGTGGTACAGAGAAGGAGAAGTGGGAGAAAGAATTATGAATGGGTAAAAAAGGCTGGACGACCAACAGAGAGTAAGATTTAAAATAAAAAATGATGCAGAAGCTGACATGTCCTAAGGACAAACTGTGTATCAAAAGTAAGATGCATGTCTAGACTGTATTAAAAAGCAATCGTGTGAATGCCAGAACTAATTAGGCCTGGTTTTCAATAGACTCATCATTGTTTGGGCATTTAGCTTGAAGACTTTAGTCATTCGTTGTCCTGTTGTTGACATAAAAGGTTACCTCAGTTAAATAGGGTATTTTGATCACTTCAGTCACCACAGCTTACAGCTCCAAGGAGAAGACCTAACAGTGCTGAAATTATTTAGCCCTGCTGGTGCTGTTAGGGCTGTAACCCTAGATTCGGAAGAAGGGTAAACAGCCAAGACCACCTTGAGGGGGTTGAAGGCTCTGGGTCTCTCACTTACGGTGGAGCTCTTGGTTGGACTAGAAAAATGTCAAGAGATGCCACCAAAGAGTAATATTTAATGCTAAGGTCTTTGAGGGTCATCTTAACCCTCTTCAGAAGAAGCCTTAACCTTTCTGCTGAGGGGCGTGTTGCTGTTTGGAAGTGTCCATTCTCTGCAAGCTAGTGTAAGTATTTCCTGTGCTTTTGTAACCATCTCTGCTCCCAAAAGACCATGAGGGAAGCAGAGGCACTCCAGGGTGACTCTGTGGAGGTAGGAGGAGAGTACCGCAGAGCAAAGGAAGACAGAGTGGGATGCCTGGAGGCTCTGACCTACCTAAGCATTTGCTGGTTGTGTGTTATCATTGGAAATGAACACAACTACTTAATCTGTTTGCTGTGGTTTTTATTCTGTTTTTGCCTGACATGTCAGTATGTTGATGAATATGGCATGAGTTTTGACTGCTTGTGATGGGGGTGGCAGGGTCGGGGTGGTATAGGGAGGAAACTTTCCAGTTTTGGATCTGGCCTGAAACACCATGGTAATAGTTTTACATGGTAGTAGTTTTGCATGTGGCTATCTTATTTGAAAATCTTGACGCCTTGCAAATGAAAGGGCTTTGGACTGAAGGATCTAGTTCTCAACTTGAATGCTATCATATTTGTGTGGTTTTCATTTTGTTCTAAAGATGGTGGCTTTATTACAAATGTTTAAGAAGCCTCTGAAAGTAATGATGCCTCTTAAATATGCTCAGGCAAATATGAACATGCTGGGGCAAATATTTACCAAGCTAAAGTTTACATGCTTAAATTATATACATTAATGGCATAGTACTTGAGTGTACGTCTGCAAATACGTAGTGTTCACCTCATACAGCAATACTAAATTTTACCATTTTCTGCAGTCTGTAAATTAATATCTGTAAATTGAACTCAATATTTAAGTCAAAATGTATATGTGATTTTTAAAAAAAAGTGCTTAGAAAATGTAATGTACTTCTTGCTCGAACATACTATTACCTTTAAAAATAGATATTTGAATTGCTTTTGATGAAGACCTCGGTTTACTGTGTGACACTTTATGAAAGCATTTTGTGGGCTTAATCTAGTACACACAAAAATGCCATCGCAATGAGCAGAGGTTTTTTATGACTGTGAAAATCTGTCTGGAGAGAGATGGTGATAAATAGGAGAGATTTTATTATGAGTGCTTGTGCTTTACCTACCCTTTGGAGAACTGCTACATTCTTCATCTCTTGAGGTGGAGCCTGCCTCGTGAGCTTCAGAGTCAGGAAAGCAAACTTGAAAAGAGAATACAGACTGGCTTTTTCTAATCTTCAAATGAAATACCTCCTACTGAATTAAAATTAAACATACTCCGTCTCATATTCAGTCTGAGCCCGCAGGCAAAGATACTTTATTTTGCCACTTGTCTAGTCTTGTAGGTACTTTGCTTCAGAATTTACCTGAAACCATTAAGAGTCTAGCATCATTATTTGTGGAATTCTTAGAAGTGCAACTTCTGATTTTACGTATCAAGCTTTGTTGTTGGATTCACAGATTTTAGCCATATCACGTATCAGGTATTATTAGAAAAAAACCCAAACTTCAAATATTTCTTAACTGTGACTTAGTAAGATTCATATACATGTGAAAACTTTGAGGAGACTTTTTTTAAACTTGACTAGCAATACACTTAGAATTGAAGAATGGTGTTCCTTAGCACTTTGCCATAAAGTAGCATTGTACTAGAAAGTCTTTTTTCCTAGTCTTTCAGGATTTGCTCATCTGAAAATAAAAATTCTGGTATTGCAGTTTTTGTTCTGAAAACGAATAGTGTGCATTGTTTGCAAGGAACAATAAAGAGGAAACACAATTGTGCGTTAGGGAGAGTTGCCAAAACAGTATATACTGTGTTACTTCAGGTCTCAGAGGAAAGTGAAATAATATCCTGGAGTTCATCTGTTATAATTGCCACATTTATTGCTGACAGTTAAATAACTGCTGAAAGAACTTTGCTAACCAAGAAGAGGTGTGTTTCTCGGTGGGATGTTACTCCATCATTTGAAAGCTCCACTCAAAACCTGTGTGAAAAAGGAGAGCATGCAGGTGTTGTCATGAGATGAGGTACTGTTACTTTAAGAGCTTTTGTGCCTGGTTGCTGGGTTTCCCTGCAAGATCTTGTGTTTTGCCTGTGAGGTCTTGCAGAAGCCACAGGCCGTGTGGGTTCTCTCTCATGGTGTGACCCTGCCTGGGTCCTCAACAAATCCAGTAACCAGGTGCTTCTCTGAGGACACCCTCAGGGACAGCTTCTCATCCCTCTTCTCTAGTGCACATGCAAGGGGCATCTTCGTCCAGCCACGTTTAGGGCTTTCAAGGTCTTTTTATGCTGTCCAAGCCCTTTGGGCTAATGCAAATGGACCTGTGGGTCAGGAGGATAAGGGGAAGGGTGCTGTGAAGTTATCACTGAGAACTGAAGGTTTCCAGCTACAGCTGAGCAAACTCTGTAAGCACGTGAGACGTCTTTCATTGTAGCAGGAAGACTGTTCTGTAACGCACTGCTGAAGCAGGGCCTTATAGAAGATCCTCATTGATTCGTGATGTGTTTGAATGCTGGGAAAGAAAGTATTGGCAATGCATTTTATACAAATATTATCAAATAAGTGTGGTTCAATAAAATCCCTGCAAATTCCTGAGAAGATCATGTGTTCAACAAGTAGTTCTCCAGCATGGTATCTATTAGTAGAAAACCTTAAGTAAGGTAACAGAGGTTGTTGTTCTGTAGTAACAGGAAAATTGCTAAAGTGTCTACTTAACAAAACAAATGTTTTCTAGTACTGTTCTTTTTCTTTGTCTAAAATGCTATAGATTTATTTAGAATGACAGAAAATTGAACTTACATGGCTTGAAACTGTAGTCGGATATGTTACAGAACCTAATTATCACTGAGGGAGGGAGGTGGGAATGTAGTAGACATTTCTAGAAAGTTTTAGTTATGCATGCATCATATTATTCTATGTGTGTTATGGAAGCACTGTCTTAAAAAAAAAAAAAAAGCAGTATTATATGCATGGTTTGTCTATTAGTAAATACTGTCAGATCCTTTACTTGGAGAGTATTTAAACTGAGCTTTTTGAAAGTAGCCCAGCAGGCGTAAATGCATAGTTCTTCTTTGAAAGTTAGTGGGAGCTGGAAATTTACTTCCCTTAGCTTTTCTAAAAATTCCAGTCTTAATTTAAAAAGACTAAAACGCTTCCATCATATGAAGCCTGGAGTTAGGGTAGAAGGGTGAGAAGACATGCAAAAAAAGAAGGAAGCATCCCCGGTCTTTCCTCTGCTGCGATGGGGCGGGCTCTGCAAGCATGGATAAGCCTTACCCTTTGATTTGTTTCCGCAGGACTGTGGCATTCCAGAGGTAGAGTTCTGCCTGGCAGCTGGTAGTACAGAGGGACTTCCTATCTGCATACAGAGTGCAGTTGCCAATTTAGAAGAACTGGATGTTGAGAAAAACCCTTACATAAGAGTCAAATCAGGAGTGTGAGTACTGAACCTTTTTAATAGCATATTGCCAGCAGGTAGAGGGTAACATCATGGGATGAAAGTCATTCAGTAATAGGAACAGTATTTGGGGGGGTTTGCTACAAATCAGTTAACGTACAGTAGATATTCCTAGCTTTACACTTCAGCATTGTGCTATGTGGGCTTCTAGTAGTGGAACCAAATGTTTGAAGGCATTTTTCCTCTAGGTGCTGGCAGAAGTCTTCTATAATTCCATCTTTGAGTAGCTTTATAAATAGAAGAAGCAGCTCAGCTCTAATTAGCTTTTAGTTCGTTGGAGAATAGATACTGTCTCCCTGGTCACCCACCCTGTTATAACTATGACACTGTGGCTGAATACCAGCAAATTAATATTACATCATCCAAGCATTTCTCAAGCTACAGCCATATCCTGACTTTCTGGAGAGAGGTGATGCAGTATGATACAGGCCCCTTGGTAGCCCCACATTTCCTGTATTGAGCAGAATAGTCTGTTTCCTGGGTAAATGGCTAACACTTCACAGTTCCTGAAGTTTGGGAGTTCTGTGCCTCTTCTCATAAATCGTTGCAGAATAACATTAGCTATTCTGTTACAAGAGTCTTGAGTTTGCCTTTCCACGTGAGCCAAGCCTTCCTTCCCACAATCTCGCAATATGTCTGTGAAGCTTGAGGTGGTGAAGGAATTAAAAACAGAGTCTTGTCTTAGTTTTGATAGAACTTGGTGTAACTTTTAGCTGCTTATGGTCCGTGTTTGTGTTGTTCTAAGAAAATAATTTTCCATATGGCTCAATGCCTCTTCCTCCATTCCATATTTGGTCTACTAACCCTGTGTCCACCTTCTACATTCAGCTTTCTTTTTGATTTAAAACAGTCTGAAGGAGTCTCAGCATTTTTAATCATCATGTCAAAATTACAATAGCCTGCTTTCCAAAGGAGTGTTGTAAATCATCGTATTTTAATAACTTCCACAGAAATAATGAAGTGGAATTGATGTTAGAAGCCTTTTAATTTCTAAGGTGGCAATCCTAAGTAAAATTCGATGCAAGTGCCTCATCCTCAGCACTGACATTGGTTTTGTAAACTCATAGTGCAACAAACTGGCTTCTTAAAGTGAACAAATTGGTAATTTTCTTCTCTTTCATTGATGTTTAGTTTGGACTGAGCAAAAGCATGTGAGATCTTCTTAGCATTGATTTTTGCCAGTGTATTTAAATATAGCTTCGTTTTGATGTGCTGGCAGTATCTAAAACACATTATCTAGCTTTTACAAATACAAAAAGGAAAATAATTTTAATAAGAATTTTGTATTTGTAATCTATCTAATCAGATTAATAAGTCCTTTATCCTTATTGTTATAGATGGCTTGCTTATTCAGACTTTAATTACAAGGGAGAGATGAAGGTTTTGGAAGAATGCGATTCACCATCCGAAATTCCTTCAGCAGATGTAAAATCTCTGCGTCCCTTAAAAATGGTGAGGACTTCACAATTCCCTAATAAGTTGTGTGCCTTCCTTTTCCTATTGTTGCTCCCCCAAAGGTTTTGATCTAAATATAACTTAGGTTCTAACATCCTTTCAGGGTTAATCCTTCTACATGTAACACTCATCTCACGCCACGGTGCATTTGCAGTGTTGTAGTGGCACGGCAGTTGCTGTGGCTTGCTGGGCTTCTGCGCCTGCCCAAGTAAGACCACGTAGTCAGAGGGAGCACCTGATTCACTAGGACATCTTCCTGGGAAACTGCTGTTGTTAAGTGGAGATCAAATGAAACAGAACTGAAAGGCTCTGAATTGTATTGCAGCTAACACCAATTCATTAACTACAAAAGCTCTGCAGAAGTTGATTTTCTTTTTTTTTTAATGGTACAGCTAGAGTCTACTGGGAGTGGAAGACCAGCTGAGAAATTTCTTACCCAGTAGTATTCCTGTGACCACACATTGCGCAAAAATCTTCGGAGATGCAGCTAATTTTTGTTTTGATAGACAGCATGTAGATCTAAATATGAAAGAGATGTGGAAGGGTGTAACACATAATTCTACTGTATACATAGCAAGCCTACGGAAAGAGAGTTTAAAAGCCACAAAGGCGTAAGACCTAACAGCTGTCTTTTTAGTTGCTCATGGGAGGTAGGTGTCTTATTCCCTCACAGAACATCGTTCGCTAACATTTCCAAAGAAAATGCATTTATTGTATTTGCTCTTTGACCATAGACATGAATATGTCAGCCTATATTTTCTCTCTTCTGGTGTTTATAGTTTCTTAGTGTTCCACCATTTGTGCTTAAGAAACTTGAAATATATACAACGAAGCTTTAAAAGTTAATTTTGCAAATTGGCCAATACAAATTAGTTAAAAAACACAAAGTAAATATTTACTTTAGATTGCTAATAGACAATGAAGGAATATTTTTAAATTGCTTGCACCCCTACAGGCTTGTCAGTGCACTGATTTGTTTGTAGGTCAGGTTTATAGTGTCCCTGGCCTTTACGAGTTATCAGAGTATTTAAACTAGTGTTTGATTTGGCCAACACTGAAAATGGTGAATATAATTACAAAGACTTCATGCTCTGATAGTACTATAAAATACATGTCAAAGCATAACTTTAAGTTTTATATAAATATCTTCCCCCCCCCCATCTTTTTTTAGGGTGGACTAAAGGTACAAATGCCAATGAATGTCAAGGTAAGCACTGAGGACATTGAGAATAAAATATGAGCACATTGGAAATATAAAACCTTTATTTAAGCTATTTTCTTTTTGTTGGGTATGTGACGTTTGATTAAGTATTCAGTGTTTGCTGCTGAAGAAAAATTCACTAATGCTGTCAAGTCCACTTTCTTACTAGCGTTTCATGAGATGTAAAAGTAGTAGTAGTAGTTTGTTTTTTACATATTAGGAGAATGTGAATTTGCTATAGAAGAATTGTAAAGCTTTTACAAAACAAAATTAGTTTTCCTGACTGACACATCAGTCACTGTAATGGAAAGGGATCAGGAGAGATTTTCCCATTTAACGTACCAAGTTTAAAAAAAAAAGGAGGGGGGAGGGGAGGAAGGGGGCAGGAATAGGACCCTTCCTTCCTATGCTCGATCCCAATACAAGAGTTGTGAGTGAGACCATGATCCTTCTGTGATTTGAGGAGCAGAAAGCTAATCTGGAGTTACTGCTCCTTTTCCCTCCTTTTTCTAGTTCTCCACAAAAATGCTAATGCTTTAGGTAACTTTTAACTATACAAATACACACAAGACTCAGGTGTTTTTCTAATAAATATTCGGCAGATGTGGAACCTCAAGGGGGTGTTAACTGCAGTCACTGAAATAACTTCAGCAAAGTACAGAGAAAGACCTCTTGTCTACTTTTGAAGGATTAAGCTCAGTGTGTCTAGCTGTGACCAGGTAGGTTTACCTGCAGGCTATATACACTGCACAGGCACAGGATTACAGGACAAATCACAGTCATGTAGCTGCAGAGTGCGTTTATGTGTATGTAGTTGTGTGAATAAGTATCCTTCTGTGGAAATGTCTGCAAATAGCCTGAGAAGCCTATCTAAATCCAAATAGGGTCTCTTCAGCTTCAAGGGCACTCAAGAATCAGAAGGGCTGAAGAATGCAACCCTGAATTTTCTTCATAGTGATGGCTTGTTGGAGGGGGGGAAAAAAGGTGTCTTCCACAGCAGTACACACACCCAAACTTCAAATTACTATTCAAGGCATACTCAAGGCATTGTTCAACATCATGTTTTCTAGATAATAATATATGAGAAAACCCACTTTGGAGGATGGTCCAAAGAGTTTTCAGAAAACATCGCTTCTGTCCCAGCTCTGTTTGGTAGTGAAGAGGAGTTTCAGGAAATTGGATCAATAAGTGTAATTGGTGGAGTGTAAGTATATTTCACTTTTATATGTATTTACTTTAAAATAGGAAATCATAACTAAGTGCTAAGAAGTGCTAACTAAGGGGTGATTAGAATCTCTCACTGGTAAAATATTTTGAAAAGAAAGGTATATATATTTCTTTTGTCAGTTAGCAGCTTTGGATAAAACCACCTCTCCATATGGCTTATCTATTGAAGGGAATATAGGAAGATAAAACTAAGTATGTGAGAGGTGTGAAGTCAGTGTTTACCATTTGGATGCCAATCAACTAGGCCATTTTGTTCCTTAATGACAGCATTCACACAGAGCTTTAATTTATATTGCTTTATATTTCTGATAGTCTCTACTTAATTTACTGAAATGACCTTGGGTAGGTGTGGTCAGTCTTCAATTTGACATTTTAATGCCTCTGAAATCTATAAACTGTTTTATTGTCTCAATGGTTTTCCTTTGCCACCTGTTGCATGTTATCTGGAATTAAGAATCTGCCCTTATTTTCCTTTGCTGAGGCCTCGGGTTGATTCTGTGTTGCCCTGCCCCTCTCTGTCATACACACACGCACACAAAAAAGAGTGTATAACACAGTCCTTAGGTGGACTGCTTGTGAGGTAGGCTCAGTGCCAGCTATTGTGAAGAGCTACCAACCCTATGCGTTGTTCTTTCAACCTCTCCCAAGACCCAACAGGATAGGACTGTTTGAAAGCACACAGGATGGTTACTTCTGCCGAACAGCTTAGCAATAAAATAGTTTTCAGAAACTTTTTTTTTTCTTAGGGGATTTCAATGCTAATACTTCAATATAAAGATTCAATAACATACATCCTATCAGGCTGTTGTCAGAATCTTACAAGCACTAAATTAAAAATAAACTTAATTGTGAATACTCAAATAATCTACTCATAAATACATTATGTATTCGCTATCTGGGAAGCCTCAAATTATTAAAAATCATCCTTCTGTTTCTTGTGACGGCTTTTATTTTTAATACTGCAAAACTTAAACATCTGAATTAATGTAAACCAGGTGGTACTAAAAGTAAAGCTATCCCTGCCTGCCAAATTTCAACGCTGACAGAATTTGTACAGCAGTTCTAATACTTACAAGGGAGCTTTAATGAAAGAAATGCTTACAAGGAAGAAGGAGGGGGAAGCACTTTTTCAAATTAAGATCCATTAGAGCTGTCAAAGTTGATGTGGAAATGCCTTCTTTTAATCAAGCCTTATCTATTTGTTCAAAGAACTTTCAAAAAGTTTTATTCCCTTAGTGCTAAAACATATTCCATATGCAATATATTGTATACGTTCAGTTCACTTGTCTATTCATATTCATATATGTTTTTAGATTAGAGCAGGTAACAATGTAGG